TTTCTCATACATGATCTTACATTATTGCAGCTTCACTGATCAGCTTTTGTGCCCGGAGGTACAATCATTTACTAATGGCCTCCGCTCCCCGTTCAATGATTATAATGAGCTTGCAAACAAACATGACGCCATATAACGGATTCTGGCACTTTCCATGTTCGCCATTTACTGGAACCTGTGCAATCAAATATTCATCGGTTTCTATGGTAGCGAATCATGAAGAGACGTCGAGTTTCACATCAGGCCATTATTGTTTCCTTATGGTAACTCGAGCATCAGACTGTGTCTATAAATAAATACCCACAATGCTTTATATTGTGCTATTAGGTTACTGTATTTCAGAGAAAATGCTAATGTCTTTATTTATTCATTGAATTTGATTTATTTATATTTTCTTTTTCTGTCATTATGATTTGTCTTTATTTATTTGTATATGTTCTTTTACTTCGTCAAGTTTCAAAGTGGTATATATTATATATGAATAACTGACTGCATGTGTCATCTAATTATTGTGACTTATCCTATTTGTATTTGTGGAAAATGTGTAAGAAACTCCATAAAAATATAGTTTTAAAGGTCCCATGTCATGGCCATTTCTACTGATCATAATTCCATTGTTGAGGTCTACTAGAATAGATTTACATTGTTCAATGTTCCAAACTCACATTGGTTTCTCATACAGCATCTCTGTATAGTATGTGTATTCACTCTCTGTCCTAAACGGCTTGTTGGAGCTCCTGCCCCCCCCCCCCCCCCTCCCTATGAGCCCAGTGGCCGACAGCGAGACACAACGAAACCCAGCCCGAACACACACACACACACACACACACACACACACACACACACACACACACACACACACACACACACACACACACACACACACACACACACACACACACACACACACACACACACACACACACACACACACACACACACACACACACACACACACACACACACACACACAACACACACACACACACACACACACACACACACACACACACACACACACACACACACACACACACACACACACACACACACACACACACACACACACACACACACACCAATGTGGACCAATCCACGGACTTAACGTAACGGCTCCGCGGATTGGTCCATTTGGACCAATTGGTCCATTTGGACCAATTGGTCCATGGGGTCGTCGTTACGTCACTTGGTTCCCGGAAGAAAAAAATGAAAATGTCCAACGAGGCGTTCTGGGGCAGCAGAGACAGGTCTTCTCTGTGTTAGAGTTGTACTCGCTACAGGGTGTACTTTGAGGGGTTTTGACTCTGCAGACCGTTTACATGCATAAAAACCTTCATAACACACAAGGGGACGGGTCATAACCAGAAAAGCATGACATGGGACCTTTAAAAAAGTGGCTGCTCAGCAAAAGGGTTTGGACTTTGAATATATTTTAAATTGAAGAGGTTAATTAAACAGTTTGTTACATATAATCTATAAAGTCCTGGAAGACTTCAAAGTACTAAATGTTTAAGTGATTGTTCCTTATAGCTTTGTGAAGCACCTTGAGATGACGTTGTTTTTAAAGTGTGCTATATAAATCAAATGTATTATTATTATATTATTATAAGTGCATCAAAAGAGGATTGTGGGGGTTATAATAGTCATAAGGTTAGGAAACATAGAAAACTGTCCAAGCAGCAAGAGGTAGAGACAACAGTTAACTGAATAATCAACATTTAAACAGCATTGTTTTCTAGCATTTAGGTTATTGAAGCACAATAAAAGTGTCAGTAAAGTCGTAATCTTTGGCAGAAAATGGAGAAAACAAATGAACACAAAGCTCTGGAGAAAAATCCTAAAAAGCAATTATATGAAACTACAATCAAATGTTTTAACAAGCAAGTTATTTCCATCTACAGTGTCTCTGTAAGTGTGGGTCTTACAGAGACACAACGCTATTAAGAGCATCCATTGAACTAACGATTTTAGACGTGGGGGAAATGCTTGAGCTATACCCGTAATTGAGCCAGTGATAGTCTTGGCAACTCTGATAACAGCATCCTAATGGGCTGAGGCAAATTATCTGGCTCATAATCAGGAAGAGCTGAGCTGAACCGCAGAAGTGGTTTTACAGAAATGACGACGTGAAGAACCACTGCACTGAGGTAACGCCCTTAAAGAGAACATATGTTCATGTTCAGGTTCATATTTGTATGTAGTGTCTCTACTTTAAAGAATCCTCTCCTGCTGATGTTCAGGTTCATATTTGTATGTAGTGTCTCTACTTTAAAGAGTCCTCTCCTGCTGATGTTCAGGTGTATATCAGTATGTAGTGTCTCTACTTTAAAGAGTCCTCTCCTGCTGATGTTCAGGTGTATATCAGTATGTAGTGTCTCTACTTTAAAGAGTCCTCTCCTGCTGATGTTCAGGTGTATATCAGTATGTAGTGTCTCTACTTTAAAGAGTCCTCTCCTGCTGATGTTCAGGTTCATATTTGTATGTAGTGTCTCTACTTTAAAGAGTCCTCTCCTGCTGATGTTCAGGTTCATATTTGTATGTAGTGTCTCTACTTTAAAGAGTCCTCTCCTGCTGATGTTCAGGTGTATATCAGTATGTAGTGTCTCTACTTTAAAGAGTCCTCTCCTGCTGATGTTCAGGTGTATATCAGTATGTAGTGTCTCTACTTTAAAGAGTCCTCTCCTGCTGATGTTCAGGTGTATATCAGTATGTAGTGTCTCTACTTCAAAGAGTCCTCTCCTGCTGATGTTCAGGTTCATATTTGTATGTAGTGTCTCTACTTTAAAGAGTCCTCTCCTGCTAATGTTCAGGTTCATATTTGTATGTAGTGTCTCTACTTTAAAGAGTCCTCTCCTGCTGATGTTCAGGTGTATATCAGTATGTAGTGTCTCTACTTTAAAGAGTCCTCTCCTGCTGATGTTCAGGTGTATATCAGTATGTAGTGTCTCTACTTTAAAGAGTCCTCTCCTGCTGATGTTCAGGTGTATATCAGTATGTAGTGTCTCTACTTTAAAGAGTCCTCTCCTGCTGATGTTCAGGTGTATATCAGTATGTAGTGTCTCTACTTTAAAGAGTCCTCTCCTGCTGATGTTCAGGTGTATATCAGTATGTAGTCTCTCTACTTTAAAGAGTCCTCTCCTGCTGATGTTCAGGTGTATATCAGTATGTAGTGTCTCTACTTTAAAGAGTCCTCTCCTGATGATGTTCAGGTGTATATCAGTATGTAGTGTCTCTACTTTAAAGAGTCCTCTCCTGCTGATGTTCAGGTGTATATCAGTATGTAGTGTCTCTACTTTAAAGAGTCCTCTCCTGCTGATGTTCAGGTGTATATCAGTATGTAGTGTCTCTACTTTAAAGAGTCCTCTCCTGCTGATGTTCAGGTGTATATCAGTATGTAGTGTCTCTACTTTAAAGAGTCCTCTCCTGCTGATGTTCAGGTGTATATCAGTATGTAGTGTCTCTTCATGTCTCCATGCTTTAATGTTCAAAAAGCTATTTATTTTTCTCATACTGCCTGTGCTGCAGCACCTCTTTTCACCCTCTGTCTGAAACCAGAGCCCAGTCTGCTCTGATTGGTTAGCTGGCCGGCTCTGTTGTGATCGGTCAACCTCTTAGAGATGTCCCGCCCATGATCCTATCACGTACAATGTGTTGGAGCGCTAGCCAATAGAAGTGCAAGTTTTACATAGTGAAGTCACAAGGCCATCGAAGTAAACAAAGGAGAACAAAGGTGTCCAAAGGAGGCTTTGGGATTTTAGACTTTGCAGACCATTTACATGCACACAAACCTGTATAACACACAACAGCATATTAGGGCCTCTTTAGTAAAAAACAGGCAAAAGAAAGGTCAGTGATTCCCATACATTGATTTATTTGTGGCGGGCCGTCACAATTAAACATCACCCACATTTTTTTATTTTGGTGGTCTAATGGATAGTGAGGTGGGCTGATGATCGGAAGGTTGTGAGTTCAGATCCCGCCTGGAACACCACTACTAGTGTGCCCTTGAGTAAGGCACTTAGCCCTCAGTTACTCCAGGGAGAATGTCCCTGTAATTGGTCATTGTAAGTCGCTTTGGAATAAGGCGTCTGCTAAATGCCTAAATTGTAAATTATATTGTTGGGAGAATAAACCCCACAGATCCTCAACTCCGGTGTGTCTCACTCATTAACAACGCCACACAGAGTAACAAAAACATTGTCCGCTAGCCATGAACTCGCATGTATTTTCTTATTTGAGGGGGGGGTGGATGCGTGGGCCCCCACAAATAGAATCAAATTATGTGGGAAACCCTGAAGGTGATATCTCAAGTATCTTCACAACAGCATTTCTCCTGAATGTTTTCTCACAGATGAGGTGCATGTCAAATGTCAAAGTAACAAAGAACAGTGAATCCAGTGATGTATTTGCTTTCACACCCCCCCCCCCCCACCCACCACCCACCACCCTGCATTTCTGTCTCAACAGATCCTTATGTTTCAATGCTTGATCTGCTGTGTCGCTCGAGAAGCAGGACAGCCCCAGCTGACTAATCAAAATTCTGGCAGTGCCCAAAGAGGGACCAGGAATCTCAGAAAACAAACAGCCGTAGTAAATCAAGAGTGATTTCAGGGGATGATCACAGATGGTGCGACCGAACAACGCTCCTTTAAATTCGTGATTCACATATTTCCCAAGCTGCTGTCTACGCTCCTCCAAAATAGCCTGTAGCCCATTAAGAATGCAAATAAAAAAACATGGCTTGAGACCAGAGCTGGAGGTTTATGTACTCACTGACAGGTAAGGAGATGGCTATGGAGCCCCTCAGATAACTGTGATTGGCAGATGAACATATGGAAACACATAATGGGCGATCTAATCGATTTTTGTTAATGGAATATGAAATAACATCTGTAGACACTTAATTCACAAGGAACTCAATTCAAACGTTCTCGCATTTATTCCATATAGCAAGGAACACACACACACACCCACACACACACACGCACACAAAAACTCACCCCACTGCAGAGGAGCCAGCTGCAGGTGCTCCAGGACCAGCTGGTTGAGGACTCCCTCCACACTGGCCTCTCCACTGCGCCGCAGGGACGGGTGGGAAACGTTAAGGGGCATTTCAAGTAATCAACATGAGACATAATATACAGATATACCGTAGTTACTACCATATTTAGATGTTGACGGCTACAACAAATCTGACTTTGACATTTTCATCAGATTTCTGGGGTCAAGCTGTGTTAGAAATTAGCATTTTTGTTCAAGAGCCATAGTGATTGGGTAATGTTAAGGGGCATTTCAAGTAATCAACATGAGAAACTTTATACAGATATACTGTAGTTCAAGGCCCACACCTTTGACCCAGTTTATCAGTGTGTACTGCCCTCACTGAGCACAGGCCTCCAACGTTGGGCTGCAGTGCTCTCAGTGTTTTGTCTCCCTGCACCAGCTGATAGAGGTGTTGTGGTTTTATCTTGTTATGCACATGTTGATTATTCTCTCAGAACTAGCTAAATACATGGGTCTGGGGTAGAGATCTTCAGAATTGGTTTGGCAACCACTGTGTCACCTCTTGGCTGCAGAACATGTCTTATGAATTCTCCGGCCGAAGCTCCAAATAAACCGTCAGTGTTTGCCATCAAAGCTCCTGCTCTCCTCGTGTCTCTGAGTCTCGTCTCCATTGCTTCAGAAGTTTCCTTCACAGTATACCATATTTAGATGTTGATTAAAAACAGCTACAACAAATCTGACTTTGACATTTTATCAGATTTCTGGGGTCAAGCTGTTAGAAATTCTTATTTTCTTTCAAGAGCCATAGTGGCTGGTCTTGTCTTAAAAAATGTTTGGACTAAAAACATTTTCATAGCCTGCATTGGTCAGAAAATAAACAAGCAAAAGCTTCGTGCACCCGATTGGCCTGTTTCTCCCTGGATTCCCAACCACCTACATATCAACTCTTTTGACAACGTTGTGTCATTTGAGGCAATAAATGCATGTTGGACTGCTTCCCTAGATTCCACCGGGTCCGTCTGCGCCGCGTTGCGGTTTTGGTCCGGCGTCATACCCTACCAGGCGCATTTCAGAAGCATTTCAGTAGCGGAGCGTCTTGCCTGCCGGCTCGCAGTTTTTGTTGATTTGGGCATATTTCCTGGACAGGCTACTTTGTACAGACAAAGTTAATAATAACTGTAATATTCCAGTTATAAACGACATGAATCAAAGATGTGTTGCTGTATTTTAGTGGTAAAAAATGCATTCATCATCATAATTATTCTATATATATATAATGTACACAGTGCCTGTAAACCGGAGGAGAACGCTGGCATTTCTCCTCCTACTTGAAAGACTACGGAGGGATAGGGTCTGCAAAATTAGTTTGTGTGTGTGTATATATATAGGTCTATATAGCTCTGAACGTTCCACTTCCTGCCTGCCAGACCTTACGTTACGCCGCGACAAAAATAGGATTCGATCCTAATTTTAGAGGAGCCCTGCACCGAGCCGCTTCTGAGCCGCTTCTGAGCCGTAACGCGCCGCGTGTGGTGGAATAGCACCCATTGACTAGAGTGGCCGTGATCGCCGTGAGCACCGCGGCGCAGCCGTAACGCGCCCGTAACGCGCCGCAGACGGACCCGGTGGAATCTAGGGGTTAGTGTCCAGAAACTGGAGGCCCATGATTTAAAGAAAGTAGCATGTTACTGAACTTTTTGCAAACCACAGCATTTGAAGCCCATTCTGGCGCTACCAAAAGCATAACATGACTGCAAACAGACTACGATAGGGAAGCACAGGATCACATACGGGGTATCAAAATAATCTGTAACACTTAACTCCTGACTGAGAAATTCACATGATCGCTGACAAACCTTCTCAGGAGCATTGGTTATATTATGTTCACCCTAAAATCAGAATAAGAATGTCTATGTTCAGAAAATGGGCCCATCCAGGGCGCACGTGAACAACCATTGACATTCTCCAAGTGCCATTATAGTTTGTGTAATGGATTCATTAAGATGTCAGAGGTACATGTAGAGCATTTCTCTGAAGCGTGGCTATAATAAAAGCTTTAAACTGATCACAGGTCAGGCAATCAATGTATGATTGCTGCATCAAAATAAACATGGCTGTCAGGGAGCAATTACCAAGATAATATGTGATGATAAGAACACGGCCGATCATTTACAGGGCTGACATTCAGAAAAGAATGGGTGAGATGAGTCGGGCCTCGAGCACCAAACCTGTGTCTATTGACCTTTGAAGAAGAGTACAGTATGCATGAAAGCAGAGAGAAAGAGAGTGAATCTAAGGTTAAAACATAACGTCCAGAGAAGTGAATGGATCTTTTCCAAACTCAGAGTCTGACTCACAATGAATAGCACGTCACAGCACCTGCATCTTAAACGAATGGAAAATGGCGAACAATGGCAGTGTTGTTTCTTTGATCACTTGAAGCGCATAGTTTCTACTTTGAGGATTTACTGGAACCGTTGGGTGAGGGAAGCAGCTGCAGTCGGTCATCATCGATACCGCCCGGATGTTACCCTAACAAAATGATCAATAGAGCATCTGAGCAGCTGCTATAATCGACCGTCATACAAGTCAGCTTTGCAACGTCCGTATTACATACTATGGGGATGTGTCCATTTTCATCTACACTGCACAACAAGTCTACAAACAGCTCTGGGAATGTCTTTACTATGGTTACATCATGAAAGCATTCCTTCTACTATCAAATTATATAGACGGACACTAAATTGTTTATTAGGTGGATGGCACTTATCCAGGAATGGTCACATTTGCAGCAGGCAACCGTGATGTTTTTTTTCACAGCCAGTCCTGTCATGCCTTACTGTGGCAATAAAGCACTTTGCATTTATAGAGTGGTGCAGGAATGAGTCCTAAAACCCAGAATGAGTCAGCATTTCAGCACCTCCAGTTCGCTTGTTTGAAAGTCAATCACTTCTTGAATGAGTTTTTGATTAAATGCCAGAAATAAGATCTAAGGTTGATACAAGCTTGAGGTTTTTTTTTTTACATTTCGTTCAATAAAAACAAAACAAGGGTGGGGTAAATGGTGATGTTCATTTGATGAGAACAATTGCAACAATTCTGATCATTTGATTATATTCTAGGACCAACAAGCATCATTTTTGAAAAGTCCATTCCCTTAAAGTGCTTCAGAAGTAAGCACTTTATATATATTTGTACTTATAAAAACAATAAGTGGATGGTTTATATGCCTACCAAACGTATTGTCTACAATCATTCAGAGTTTGGCACTTCTCTGTTCATTTGCCCAGAATACTTTCTCAGTTCTCCCTGAGAAAATAAAATGGTCAAGTCATAGCTTAGACTGATTCAAAACGTCTCTATAGCTTGTTGAAATGCCTCCAACGTGCTGCTGCGTCTGACAGTTAGGAAGACCCTTGGTACTACATTTAGAGAAATGGTACGCCTTAGGAGTACAGCTGAGCACAATGCCTTAAAAGCGATTTGTATTATTTTCGTTGTGTTGTATGCTGTCACTTCTGGCTGGCTGTAATATCTTAGAAAAAGTTGCATCTGGGTGAACAACGCTGGCTTCGACCGTTTGACAGGAAGTCCCAATGAGGTGGATGTTAGTGCTGGTTAAAGGTGGGGTATGTAATTCACTTCAGAAATACTTGTTATATTCCATGGAATGCTCTTCACATCCCGATAGCAATGAATATCTGAAGTGCTTTGACAATAAATATATACAAACATTTCATCTGTGGAAGCCGTGGCGCTGTAAAAAGCACGACCAATCATCTGAGCCGGCCCGGCTAAAATAACTGGATGGCCTACCTGCCTGTCAGCCTTCCATCTGTGCACAAACTTATCTCGTGCCCTCATTGGTCATGTGCGCGTTCGTGTGTGTTGGAGGAGGGGCTCTGGAAGGAAGCTCGAGCTGGTTTCTCCATTCTTACCTACCCTACCTTTAAGGGAGCTATTGAGGCACTAATGAACTTCCGTAGAGTATATCTTGACATGAAGTATGACACCTGACATTTCCCTGTGCTTTTAAAACAAATATTTCTGTTGTAAATGATTGTCTTTTCTTTCTTATGTTATTGTAGTGTGCTTTTATTACATGTACAGCACTTTGGCTCGACCAAAAATCGTTTTTAATTAATTAATTAGATTTGATATCTTAGAACAGCAAACTCACTAGAAATGTTTTTAATATGGCTTTTATTTGGGTTAACTTTCAATTCTCACATTGTCCATGTTTTGCTGTATTTTTGTCTGTTTTGCTTTTATTTCACATTTTTAATTGTCTTTTTTAAATTGTTTTATTTTAACATATTATCACTGTATATGTTTTATCTTGTTCTGTATTAATTTAAATATTATTTAAATATTGTAGTTATGTTTTCTGTAACGCACTTTGGGCTGCTTTGTGCATGAAAGGTGCTATACATATTTAGTATGTAATTTGTAATAGTATGTAATTTGTAATCCCTGTAATGCTACTGTATGATGTCCTTTTGTTGCTCTGTTTATGTTTTTAATGTTTCATGTGGAACCTACTTGAGCAGGTCTCCCTTGAAAAAGAGGTCAATGATCTCAATGGGATACAACCTGAATAAATAAAGGTTTGAAATGAAATGAAATATACAGATAACGTTTATTATTATATTATACCCAGGGATGATTCATGACTTTCTCAATAAGAATACAGGCAGTCCTTTTGTTTCCATTTGTCCCATAGCCTGAACTGTACATGCATATGCAAAAGCCTTTCCCTATGAGTGACTCCATATAAATGAACAGCATCGACAGAGCACGAATAATATTGTAGGGACCTCGTAAATTACAAATTAAAGAGACTGTTACTTTGCTCAGGGCCAAGCGAGTGCTTCAGAGTGTGACACGCATTATAATCAAATCTTTTATTCCTCTAGTTCTTTCATGTAGTAAAAAGGGGGAAATCCACCCTGAAGCTGAATTTACACTGAGCTACTCCAAGGATGTGAGACAGCTGAGTCACCATGTACACACAGAAACGTCTCGTCGTGACATTTAGCATCAACGCTTAACTCGATAACACCATGACAAAGTGTTGGTGTTATTCAAACAATATGATAGCAATATGTGACTTAAAGTGGACCTATCATGCTATATTTGAATAATATAGTGTAGGACCATACCTATATAAGGCATATTTATACTTTTTTTTGTTGAAAATACCAAACAGATCATGCATTTTAGCCATGCCTCATTTTGCTCAATTTGCACTTTTTTTAGCCCTGTTTTAGCAAGGGCAGATTCAGTGAGAACAGCACCACCTACAGGCCTGGCATATGTACTACAGCGTCTCCAGCGCTTTCGAACGGCAATGGCCGTGGCTGTCTCCTCCTGATTGGTGGAGTTGGCCCAATAGCCGTAGCGCCACCGTCCTGACGTCAGGACAGTGTTCAAATCTGGATCAGTTTTGATCAGATCCGTTGCAGCCCCTTTTTTAGAGATTTGGGTATGGAGGAAAATAGAGAGGGTTGTGTTTTCTGACACTTGGTGAGTTCCCTGGAACACCGGGGACACATATTCATGTAGAAAAGACGTACACAAGTGCATTTTGCATGATAGGTCCCCTTTAAGTGCTGCTTAAGATTTCCTAAATGACTTGTACTTAAACATAGGTCTTCAAGTGTCAAACTTTTATACATAAGACATCATACTTTATTGACTGAGCAGCTACAGGATTTGATAATGAACGAGATGCTGGATCGTGTCTTTATGCTTGGAGAGAAACTTGAATCATCACATTGCTTTCATAACGTGTTGTAACGTGGATAAATGGGCTGTTTCGGTAAGATTTTGGCAACAGTATTTGTATTTGCATGTCATTTACTTTCTTCATCTCTTCCCACACGCTGCCAAATTACTTGTAGATAAAACAATACACATAATGAAGGGGCGTTTACGCCTTCGTAAAAAGGGACGAATATAATGGCAGCTTCAGTAGCTCAGATTGGGTTCATTATTAATTGTACACCATGCTCACCAACAATCCGACAGGCGGTTCTTAAATCTCTTAACTGATGAGCACTAATGGCTTATCCAAGGCACGATATGCACGATGACTAGTAGCACTTTTCAACAGCAGAAACTTTTCCCTGGAAACTTTTATTGAACTCAGTCACTTTATATTCAGGAACTTGGCCTTAGTTTCTGCAACGTAAATGGTTCTTACTCCTGAGATAGTACTTTCAGATGCCCCAGAAACTATTTGAGTCTTTAAAGTCACCTACCGGTCAAAGAGAACTCTTCAGTCTGATAGAAATCACGGGGTTATCCTTAGTTGAATAGCTTATTCTCGTCAACATAGGGGGAAACTCGCCTTTGGGCTCACAGGTAGCACAATCAAAGTAAGTGACTTGAAAAAACTTAGAATGCTGTCGGTAGAAAGTGTAAAGTCATGTACTTCACAAACAAATCTGAAATGAACTCTCTTCTGTATCTCCCTTTACAAGTTCGAACGGTCCTTCCTGACATCCATTTCCAGTCTTACTGTCAAAGAGTGTGTCCTTCTGTGACATGAATGACAATGTCTCAAACAGATGTTGAAGCCATTCTCACGAAATTCTTCTCATACCATAAAACAATGTTGAATATTGAAAGAGATGGTTTTAAGACACAGTATTGGGTGTTAACCAAATGTGTTGAGAAGCCAGAAGACACTTATATATATATATTAAGGAATGGATACGAGTTGCCTCCCTGAGGAAAAGCAGACCTCAGAGAGCAGCATACTGACTGATTACATTAGTTGGACAACAAAGCTTTCCCACAGATTAGGACCTATGGGAAAATGTTGCACCACATTGACGTGTGTTACATGTTGTGATCCTGGATGTTACCCCTTGTTTCTGTTGTGTGATTGTGACGTGCTATATGTGACATGTATGTAGTAACGTGTGTTTGCATTCTATTGTTATCCTTTCGCCTGTATCTACTTCTCTTTCATGCTGTCTTTGTAACTAATGCTGTTGATGTGTTTTAAAAAAGTGTCTATTATCATCTGGCCGGGGACAACAGCAGGAAATTAGCAATGTACTGTAATACCCCATGTAACGTTTTATGTGACAGTTGATCAATGGGGACCGTCCACAACACTATGAACCAGGGGTGTCAAACTCAAGGCCCGGGGGCCAAATCCGGCCCGCGACTTCATTTGATGTGGCCCCACAAGAGCTTGCAAAGAATATAATATGTTTATGATACGGTTACATGCTACTTTACAGAAGCACGTTGCCCATAAACGACATGTCCCACAATGCATCTCAAATTTGACTTTTTCTCAGAATTTGACTTTTTTTGTCCAAATATGCCTTTTTTCTTAGAATTAGCCTTTTTCTCATAAATAGATTTTTTTTTCAAAATGTCACTTCTCTTTTTCAAAATGTCACAATCAATGTTTTTCCAGAATGTGGCTTTTCTTTTAAAATCATATTGTGACATTCTTACTGAAGAGACTTGCAATTATTTGCTCTAGACTTCTGCTTTCAGACGTAGTTAATTATGAAGTTATATTAATTAATGATATAGTCTTAAAGTTACAACCGGCCCTTTGAGTGCAACCATAATGCTGATGTGGCCCGTTATGAAATTGAGTTTGACACCCCTGCTATAAACAAATAAACTAAACTAAACATTGACGCTAGTATGTGACACAACTCCAAACCCAAACATACTGTACGCACACTAAGACATCCGTTCAGTGTCAGAGACGCAAATACTTCGCCATACGCTTCCCCATCTGTCGCTGCAGGCGAAAAGTTCCCTGCTGGCCAGAGGGCTTCCAGATGTGTGATCCAGATGTATAACTGATCTATGTGTGTGTCAACAAACAACATGCAGCTAACACAGGGCAGAATAACTCTGTTTGACCAGGTTTGGACATTATTGTTTCAGTAGAGAATGTAAAGCTTTACCATCTGTAAACACTGACTGTGTAGCAATGCTCAGCTCAGGCTGGATTCTCTGATATCACTCCACCGTACGTTAGCGACTGAAAGGATATGATGCTCCAACAGATGCCCAGATTGCTGTTGATCTGGCAGCCCTGGGCATGCTGGCGCTCCTCCTCCAGCTGTTTGGGGTTTGTGAAGCGAGCCGTCTCCTGGTCCGGCTGCGGCAGAGTCTCAAAGTCAAACTTGTCCACCTGGATGGCCATCCTGCAACAAGAGAAGGGAACATCACTTACAGACACAAGTTTCTGATAGGGTGAAACAAAACACCACAGTCACATTTTAGCATTTGGAGAGTGACATAAAAGTTACATCACTGTCATTATCATTCAATCTTGAAGGTCACCTATTGTGAAAAATCCACTTTTTCATGTCTCTTCTACATCAACATGTGTCCCCTCTTCTTCATGTCTCTTCTTCATCAACATGTGTCCCCTCTTCTTCATGTCTCTTCTACATCAGCATGTGTCCCCTCTTCTTCATGTCTCTTCTACATCAACATGTGTCCCCTCTTCTTCATGTCTCTTCTACATCAACATGTGTCCCCTCTTCTTCATGTCTCTTCTACATCAACATGTGTCCCCTCTTCTTCATGTCTCTTCTACATCAACATGTGTCCCCTCTTCTTCATGTCTCTTCTACATCAACATGTGTCCCCTCTTGTTCATGTCTCTTCTACATCAACATGTGTCCCCTCTTCTTCATGTCTCTTCTACATCAACATGTGTCCCCTCTTCTTCATGTCTCTTCTACATCAACATGTGTCCCCTCTTCTTCATGTCTCTTCTACATCAACATGTGTCCCCTCTTCTTCATGTCTCTTCTTCATCAACATGTGTCCCCTCTGTGGAAAGAGACTCTGAAAGTTTCAGGACAAAAGATTCTCTCTCTTTTTGTCCTGATCCATTTCTATAAAAACCTGTCTGAAAATGAGCTGATCAGATTTTGGCCACTTTATGATGTCATAACGATGTTTTGTCTTGTGTAACCATTAGCCAATCACCAACCAAGGTAACCCCCCCCCCCCCCCCCCCCCCCCCCCACCTTATCACCTGAATCTCCTCCTAGAGCACCATTGAGTTCTTTCTTAAACTTAAAAACCCTTGCTTACATCTGTGGCAAATGACAACTAATGCAGGCTGTGTGGTTTGGTAAATGTTAATTATGTATCTAGTCTAAATAAACACACTCAGGTGCAACCCCTTCCCCACTTCTATGTTGCAGATATGTTATTTATTAACGAGAGATAGGGTGTCCGTTGCCGAGGTAACGTCACGTCTCACATGGAGTATTGAAGTTTCGTCGAACCAATCAAGACTACAACAGTGCTCATAAAGTGACCCAATAGCCGGCCTCTTAATACCCATGCAGCATTCAAGCCATAATTTAAAAAAGAAAAGCACTGTATCTATGTTTTCAAATCTCTGTGGAGTTCAAAGACAATAGTTGTCGTCAACATAGGGGACACATATCTCAAAGGGAATGAGGAGATAAATATGTGAGAAAGAACATGTCTCCACAGTCCTCTGCATGAAGCCGTGTTTGATGGAAACACAACCTCTTCAGAGAAATAACAAACAATAAAACATATTACCGTTATAGAAAAATAGTGGCCTTTTAACTCATCCAGCAGATTCTAAGCAACATTAGCATTCAGTCCATATCAATTCCTTTTTGCTCTGTTTTGGTCTCAACCATTTTCTAGGGTATTTATATGGATGTTAAAACAGAAACACAGCTTTAGAACATTCCAGAAAACGCAGATGCTGTGATTCTACAGCCAATACCGTGTGCAGTCAAAATGTACTTTATATGTCAGGGATGCAAACACACGTATGGTGAAAAAAGAGAGAACTATTCAAGCAGAAAAAAAACATTGTAATATACCGGCCTGTGCTATAATGCTTCAATGAACTGGCTATTCTTTATAATGTACTCAGATCAATAGGAGACAGAGATGTTAAGTTATAAATCAAGGGGTTTTATTAATATTTACAGCAGGGGTGGGGAACCTATTTCCTCTCAAGGGCCATTTACATTTTTACAACATCCTCCGAGGGCCGTACAAATTATTGACCTCAACATCTGCTTAAAAATACTAAAATCACAGCCCATTCATTTGACCTTTCTTTCATGCTGTGCAAAGAAGAAGCAACCTCTGAATCCAGATATCTTACCATGACTCGTGCATGCACGTGCACGGTGTGGCATGACCACCAAAACAGATAGATATGGACACATGATGTGTGCAAATGTATTTAGTTTCCTATCCATGTGGACATCATTTAAGTTGGGGGCGACCTCACATCCTCTGGGGGGGTCCGGGGGCATGCTCCCCCGGGAAGATTTTTTAAATGTTGAAGTTAAAAGCATCAATCTGGTGCACTTTGAGAGCAACATGAAGAGATCTATGGATACATCTCTCAACACCCATATGAAACAGACCTGTAAACAGATTTTTCTTTTTCTTTATGGATATTTTACAAATCACTCCCCTTTTAACCTTTAAACTGTATTTTTGTTATTTTTAACAACTTTTTTGTTACTGTCATTTCGTATTTTATACCTGTTTTTCATTTAGTCTCTTATTTCTTCATAACTATAATGATCATATCAAGGTGTGCCTTAACCTCACTGAGCTGAGGTTATTTGAGCCTCTCAGTCTGTCAGGAGAGAGCTCTCTTCCACCTGGTCATAGAAAAAGCTCTTTAAATGTGTTAGCATAGCTAGCTAACCAGATGCTAATAACAACAGATCTCCACTGGGCTTACAACTGAAGACACAGCCACGCAACAACTGCGGCATGTGTACGGCTCCTTATGGGTACTGCAATTTCTGAAGTGCTGGAGCGGCGTTCTGTCAGCACTATACCACGTGATGACACGTTACGCTTGTGTTGTGTTCAAGGAACCTGTCCTTGGCCAGGAAAAACAGGCACTCGCTTGTTTAATTATTTTGCGGTCTAGATTTCTTAAACATTTTTTGAAGTGAGAAGTTGTCCGTCAGTCCGAAAACGAAAACTCTTCGGTTCTCCACGATTTACACAAGTCACCCAAAGCAGCGTTAAAAAAGCGGGAGGCGCCAAAAAGCGACTAATTTGCATGACTGATATGTATAAATTAAACCAAAAAACAGTTAACACTTGCCACTTTAAGCTGCTAGTTGATGTGTATATAGTCACGGCAACAATTAGTTGTTAAGGTTGTATAAGCTGCATCCTACATGCTCATCATGTAGTTGACAGTGGCTTTAACGAGCTTTAAAAACAGCTTGTTGGTTCAGCTTTAAACGAGGTCCATGACAGGATAATAGGAAGTGAAAAACCAACACAATAAATACTTAACAGTCCTTAGAAATAAGGTAGTAATTGTGTTAAATGTGAATCTGGTCTTGCCATTATCTCAAAGCTGTGATTCTTGTTTGTGTCTTTTATTCATTGAACTTTGTCGTCCCGATAAAAGCACACATCCTGAAACTTGTCTCGAGTCTTGTTTAAAATGGTGGGTTTCTTGTAGTGACAATCTCAATAAATGATAACCCAGCTCTGCAGTTCCCCTCAGCACTGCAGAGCTTTTTACCATCTTTTAAAGTCATTGTTTACACTTTCGCTCTTACAAAACCCTCATTTCGCTCAGCAGCCGAACTTCTTGAACAGAAAAACAGCTCTGATAAGCACAGTGTAGGCTGCCTGCATAGCATCACAGATCACACAAACACACACAGTTAAAAGGAAGTCAAACAACGAGCAGCTGCAATAAAAGCACACCGTTTTCTGGAAACAGAGCCAAAGAAATTGGATTGTTGGACTTCCAAAAGTTGCCCAAAAACATGACTAAATTATGTTGATAATGCTTCATGTCTATGGATTTTTAGTGTTGGGATTTCATACTTTATTGTGCTTAGTAATGCAACCATGCATTGTGCAGATAATCCAATGCAAGTTGAGGAGAATCTTTAAAGGGGACCTATCATGCAAAATGCACTTTTGTACGTCTTTTCTACATGAATATGTGTCCCCGGTGTTCCAGGGAACTCACCAAGTGTCAGAAAACACAACCCTCTCTATTTTCCTCCATACCCAAATCTCTAAAAAAAGGGGCTGCAACGGATCTGATAAAAACTGATCCAGATTTGAACACTGTCCTGACGTCAGGACGGTGGCGCTACGGCTATTGGGCCAACTCCACCAATCAGGAGGAGACAGCCACGGCCATTGCCGTTCGAAAGCGCTGGAGACGCTGTAGTACATATGCCAGGCCTGTAAGTGGCGCTGTAGTCTGCCACAAAAGCAGCGAAGAAGACTTCCCGCCCATAGTTACCATGGTTACCCTTCTGTTTATTCTCCGCTGTGGCTTTCTTTCTCCCTCCCCGAGGCAAGCGTTTGCTCCCGCTGCTTTAATTCAATGCAATCCCTCCCCGTCGAGGCAAGCACTGTAATTCTCTCCGGTTAGTCCACCAGCAGATGACAAACACCCGCCTCTCCGCCTCTTCCAAGGAACGAGGGGACCGTGCGGCAGAGTTTCAGTTTCAGTTTCTTTCGCCGGTCAAGATGTCCGTTAAAGTTTAAATCTTCCGGACAAAATGATAAAAGTGCCGGTCAAAGATCTTCTTTGTTATTTATTGAGCTTTAAAACAAATGAATAACGACTCTATATAATAAAACACGGAGGACGGAGATCTCTTTTTCTCCCCCTCTTCTGACAGCCCAGCAGCTGATCAGAGCACGTCTCACCTCTCCTGCAGGGGGGCGTGGTCAGCAGAATCAGACCCGTAGACAGCAAACAGCACATAGAGCGAAATGAAGCATGGCTAAAATGCATGATCTGTTTGGTATTTTGAAAACAGAAACGTATAAATATACCTTATATAGGTATGGCCCTACAATATATCATTTAAATATAGCATGATAGGTCCACTTTAAAGTAGGCAGCATGTTATCTTTTCTTTTTCTTTCTGAAAACTCACCAATCTTGGAGATACACATTGAACCATCAGACAATGAAGCATTGGCCAAATATGGCAGCACTCATGAGAGGAGTAATGTCTCTGGCATTTCACTGGTGTCATGGTGAGTGATAGGCTCTACTTCCAAGTGTTTAACTGAGAGACAGACACCATGAGAGACAGACACCATGAGAGACAGACACCATGAGAGACAGACACCATCAGAGTCTTCAAACTCAGAGAATGGAACAAAATAACACTGG